CGAGCCTGGAATATCGGATCAACGTCTCGGGATGTAAACACTAACGCTCTTAAAAAGAAGGCCAAGGCAAGGTCTGAGCACATCGGCAGAATTGGCGAGAAGCTAGTTCATCTTCCTTGATGGAGTCCCCCCCCCCCATTGTGCTGAAGACGTGTGCTCTGGAGTTGGCACCGGTTTTAACGCGTCTTTTCCGGTACTCCTACTCCCAAGGCGTAGTCTGAATTCATGGAAGACAACTTTGGTTCACCCGATCCCTAAAAAGGCGACCGCCCAGACCCGTCCAACTACAGGCCATCAACGCCATCACCTCCTTGTACTCAGAAATAATAGAGTCTATTATAAATTGCCAGCTCATGTGTACCTTGAGGATCAGCAGCTGATAATGACTACCAATACGGTTTTCGTCGGGGTCGACGAGCTGGTGATCTTCTTATCTACCTGACTCATAGATGGGTGGAGGCAGTAGAATACAAAGGGGAGGCATTGGCCGTTAGTTTGGACATAGCGAAGGCCTTCGATCGGGTCGGGCACAAAACGCTTCTTTCGAAGCTCCTATGGGCTTCCCGAGAAATTGTGCAACTGGATCACCAGTTTCCTTGCTGATCGGAGCATCAAGGTCGTAGTAGATGGTGCATTCTTTAATTACAAGCCTACTAACGCTGGTGTTCCACAAGACTGTGTGCTATCACCAACGCATATCGCTTTTGCATATCAATGATATGTTGCAAGATGGTAACATTCATTGCTATGTATATGACAGCACTGGTACACCATGCTAATATTTCTCGGGAAAACGTCGCCGAGTACCGTGACAAACTAGTGTCCGAAGTCAAGTTTTTGCTGAACAAAGTCTCGGATTGGGGGCGATTAAATTTAGTTTATTTCAATCCCCAGAAGACACAAGTTTGCGCGTTTACTGCTAAAAAGAACCCATTTGTCGTATCTCCTCAGTTTCAAGGCAGTCCCCTTGCTGTCACAGCTAGCATCGGAATCCTCGACGTTGACATATCGAATTGTGTGCACTTTCGTGGTCACTTGGAAGGGAAGGCCAAATTGGCCCCTAAAAAGCTTGGAGTGCTCAGCAGAGCGAGACAGTATTTCATGCCGGCACATCGCTTGCAACTTTACAAAGCGCAAGTTCAGCCTCACAAGGAATACTGTTCTCATCTGTAGGTCGGGACACCCCAGTGCCAGCTCCTTCCACTTGACCGCATCCAGCGCAGAGCGGTTCGAATCGTTGACGACCGAGTTCTTTCTGATCGGCTCGATACACTGGCGCTGCGTAGGGATGTTGCATCTCTTTGCATTTTCTATCGAATCTACCACGGGTAGTGCTCTGAGGAATTGTTCGGATTAATTCCAGCCGCCAAATTTCACGAACGCACATCGCGTCAAAGTTCACGATACCATCGTCACCAACTGGATGCTTGGCGGTCCACGACTGTGCGTTTTACCAGGAGCTTTCTTCCTCGTACATTTTCTCTGTGGAATTGTTTACCACCGGCGATTTTTCCGGACCGGTACGACTTAGAGACCTTCAAGAAAAGAGCTTACACCTTTTTAAAAGTCCGGCAACGCATCTGCAATTTCCTTGGTGTTGCGGTTGTTCATGGGCGGCGGTAGTCACTTACCATCAGGTAAGCCGCAAGCTCGTTTGCCCCCTCGTCTAAAAAAAAACATCGTTTTAACATTATATCCATTCCACAGCACAGCTTCAATTTCGTTGTTTATGAAAGGTATAATTATAAGATATAAGGGTCAATTTTGTCTGAGAAAAAACACTTACTACGAAAATACCTATCATATAATTTAATTGCTTATTTACGTATTTCTCGTTTATTTTTTGCTATGCACTTAGGATACTTATACTATAAGATACTATATTGCGTATTTTTGTATTGTATAATATTTATAACAATTAAATAATTATAACATACTTTAATATTATACATTAATTTTCAATACATTTTTTGTATTACCACAGAATAATAGAACACGAAGTATTACTATTTCCTTATTATCTTTCTTTGCGTTAAATTCTACAACTGTTAGATAAGTTTTCGTTACCATTCGATATCATCATATTAAAACTAGCGATTCGCACGGTTGATTTCTGGATCTCAACAACAACGCCACCTACCGGGTCCAATTGTGAATCTAAACTATTATCTAATCAACTTAATCACACAGTGTTATATAATATATATTATGCACATATAAACTGTACTAATATTTACTAATAAACTATTAATACATATAAACCTTCCTCTTGAAGCATTCTATTAATGAAAGCAAAATCCGTTGCGTACTTTAAAAGATTTTGGCCGGTTGAAGGAAAACGGGAGATCTCCCGCCGGGCAAGGTGTTCAGCCCAGGAAGCGGCCAACGCTCCGAGTGATAGTTCGGATCTATTCTATATATTATACTGCTTTTAATTCGGAACTTTGATAGCGTGATTTAGGCTTTGATGTATTTTCGCTTATGGCGTGACGATATTTTATTATTTTATTATTGATTAATAATAGCATAGAGCATAGGTAATGCTTTGTTATGAGTTGCTATTTTATTTGCGAGATTTAATTATTTGAGTTAAGATAATAGATGCGCATAGTTATCTAGCTTTTTATCATAGCTTTATTTAATAATAATAATAATAATAAACCTTTATTTCGGAAATCATGATCCATACGGGTTAATAACAATTGAGCTTATAACTAAAGTTAGTAATTGGACAATTCAACATAAAATATAAAACACAGACAAACAGACAAAACGCACTAACAATCATGGCACCCGCCGCTGCGCATACATATATATGATAAAAAGTGTCTCTACGAATACGCTCTTGATAGCATAAGACTCGCATACGAGTATGGTTAACCTTTTCTTTAAGGCTGCACTTGATGGACTCAGCAGCACCATATCATCTGCATAACTTATATTATTAACACAAACTCCGTCTATGTGGCAACCGATACCGGTACTGCTGAGCTCATCAAGGAGCCTATTTATATATAAGTTAAAGAGCATAGGAGAGCTTAGACTACCCAGCCTCACGCCGTATACCAATCTGTATTCTTCTGAGAGCAAGCTTGCTCATCTGACATTGTTCTTTTGGTTGATATACCAGTGCTGAAAGAGCAATATAACTTCTTCGGGCAGGCTAGTCTCAGATCTCATCTTGTCCCACAGCCGTTGGTAGCTTCTAGGTCAAACGCCTTTGATAGTTCCAGGTAACAAACAAACACAGATGTCTTCCTTGCTGTGTAATACTGGACAGTCTGCTTGAGACACAGGATAAATTCTCGGTGGAAAGACCTGGTCTAAAACCGGTTGCTTCTACGCTTTTATTAACCGGTACTGATATTGGGTCGCTTGGATGTATGCGCGCGGCGGCCGTGTGTCCCACGTTTGCGTCGACACAGATTTCGGTGTTTACGTCCTCATTGTAGGCATCGATGGCGTCATTCAAGGATTCAAGTTCATTGAGTCATTGACCTAGTGACCTAATTCTTTGTAGATCGTCATCAAAGGCGATAACAAGTATGTGGTTCCATTTATTGAATATATGTGGGACCCATTCTATATATATAGCCTCCAGCACCTTATAAACGGCAAGCCCCAGGCGAGCATGGAATTACAGCGGAGCTTCTGAAAGCGGGTGGAAAACCGGGTACCTCTTTAATTCCGTCCTCCATTATGGGACTACTCCGGAGGCGTGGAGCAGAAGTACCGTGGTCTTGCTCTTCAAGAAAGGCGACAACGCTCTGTTGAAAAACTACAGACCGATTTCTCTTCTGAGCCGTGTCTACGTGCTGTTTTCGAGAGTCATTACGAATCGTCTCGCACGCAGACTCCACAACTTCCATCCGGTTTCCGAAAACACTAGTACAATAGAACACATACATACTCTTCGCCAAATTTTAAATAAGACCGAAGAGTACCACTTTCCCTGGCGTATGTGGACTATGATAAAGCCTTTAATTCCGTCGAAATTTGGGCAGTGTTACAGTCCCTTCAGCGGTGCCAAGTTAACTGTCGCTTAATCAAAGTGCGAAAGTGATTGTACAGTAGAGTTACGATGGCTATCCGAGTACAGAATCAGAGTACGAAACCTATCTAACTGCAGAGAGGTGTAAGACGTTATATCCCCAAAGCTTTTCACCGCTGCATTGGAAGACACTTTCAAGCTATTGGAATGGAAAGCATACGGTATTAACATCAATGGCTAGTACATCACTCATCACGATTTGCCGACGATATAGTTCTTATGGCAGACTCGCTGGAGGTCAAAAGCGCTATGCTCAATGACCTCAATAGTGCCTTCCAACGGATAGGTCTTAAGATGAACATGGACAAAACAAAAATCATGTTTAACGTCCATGTCACACCTATGCCGGTAATTGTTGGGAGCACTAAGCTCAAAGTTGTAGACGAGTATGTTTACCTGGGACAAATAATCCGACTAGGTAAGTCCAACTTCGACCAAGAGGTCAATCGACGGATTCAACTCGGCTGGGCAGCGTTCGGGAAACTTCGACACATCTTCTCGTTAGACATACCTCTAAACCTGAAAACGAAATTGTACAACCAGTGCGTGTTGCCATTGATGACTTACGGATCTGAGACGTGGTTCTTCACTGCTGGTCGTATGAGAAATAGAAAGAGCTATGCTTGGGGTTTCTCTGGGTGATAAAATTAGAAATGAGGACATCCGCAGTAGAACAGAGTGACCGACATAGCCTAACGGATTAGTAAGCTGAAGTGGCAATGGGCCGGCCATGTAGCTCGAAGAACCGACAACCGATGGGGAAAAAAGGTTCTCGAGTGGCCGCCTCGTACCGGTAGGTGAAGTGTAGGGCGACCCCCCCCCCCCTAGATGGAGTGACGACCTGGTAAAACTTGCAGGAAGCCGATGGATGCAGGTGGCTCAGAACCGTCCATTGTGGAATTCCTTGGCGGAGGATTAGCTTATTAATAAAAGTATTCCATGAACTTACTTAATATATTTGTGATTGATCACCATCGAGACGCACGTGATCGTCGAACGTCTCCGACTCCCGCCATTCCAGTGCATTTGCGCGATACACAGCGTTTTCTATCCACACTGCAATGCGATCGGATATCGCAACCATGAAGCGGGCAAGGCGACCAGGGTGCGAGCGTGATGGTTTTGGCTCTCCTAAACAGTAAATATGGATAATTTAGGTGAAGACTTTTGAAGTGAAAACTTTTTTAGGCACGCTGGGCACTTTTGGAATGCTTGTTCTTATTCCCCAGCACTGAACTCGGGTGACTGTCACGCTCAGATACATAAACAAGATATTTATGTACATTGATTTTAATCAAAATTATTTGTTTTTCTACCTACTTCAAAAAGGAGACGGTGCTCAATTCGACTGTATGTTTTTTTATGTGTGTAACGTTAAAAATGTTTAAAAGCTTTTACAAAAAATTTTTTTTTTACTTCGCAAAGTAAATTTTTTTGTAAAAGCTTTTATATAATGGATTTCCGCAAAGTAACGCCTGATTCTATTAATTAAAAATTTTTTACTGGGTGAACCGATTTTATTTATTTATTTATTTAGATAGATACACCATCAACAATATCAATATGCATTGTTACGAACGAAATACAATTTTTTTAGACAAAGGATATGTCTTTACAGATGTATACATCATTATATGAAAAAAAAAACTAAACAACATACATATAAACTCTAAACAAACAGGGGATTTTGATGATTATTTTCTTTTTATTTGAAAGCTTATGCTTCACATGAGGTCCCATATAAATTTGATCAATGTCTGACCAATAGTTTTTGAGTTATTCTTAATAATTTATATTAAAGTGGGTTGTACAAAATGTTTAATTTTAAATTATTGTATGTTCCATAAGCGATATTTTCGTCAATTGTGAACCGATTTTGATTATTTTTGCTTACTGTAGTTCAGGGGTGGTTCATTAAAATTTGGGGAAAAATTCCAACCCTAAGAGTAGCAAAATAGGATATTAATGTCTAATGTATTTAGATTACATTGAGATTTCGATATTCCTTAGCCCACTCAAAAGGTTAAAAAATTCACTTTTAATGAAAAGTAAAGTCAATCGACGGATTGAACTCGGGGTTTCACTGCGCGATAAACTTAGAAATGAGGATATCTGCAACCAGAGTGACTGACATAGCCCAGTGGATTAGTAAGGTGAAGTAGCAATGGACCGGCCATATAGCTCAAAGAATCGAAATGGGGCAAAAAGGTTCTCGAGTGGTAGTGTTATATTGGTAGGTGAAGTGTAGGGCGACCCCTCACTAGATGACCTGGTAAGACATGCAGGAAGTCGATGGATGCAGGTGGCTCAAGACCGTGCTTTGTGGCATTCCTTGCGGGAGGCCTATGTTCAGCGGTGGACGTGTGAAGGGCTGTAATGAAGATGATGATGACGAAAAGTAAAAACCGACTCCAAAGAACTAAAAAGAATATAATAAGTCCACATTCTGAAGCCAGTGCTAAGACAGTATATAAAAGAATTATAGGTCCGACTTCAGACAGACTCCTGCGCCCTCTTTTCCCTAAAGGGGGTCGCTTCCGATTCGGCAGAAAGGCCACACAAGCCAATGCCAGACTCACAGGTGGTATTTAGTGGGTAGGCACTTAAGTTTCGCAGTGAGTCCCACATAACCAAGCAGCCGGCTGTCGTGGTATGCTTAGAGCATTCACTACCTCCCTTCTCCGTTTCCCGTAGGGTAGCCCTTTTCATAGCTTCTGGGCGCAAAAAATTTTATTCTTTTTAGTTCTTTGGAGTCGATTTCTACTTTTTATTAAAAAAAAAAAGAGTGTGTGTCAGTTCCGACTCACGACTGGAGTTTACTCCTTACGAACGATTATTTGTTTACATAGATAAAGTAGTACAGCCGAGAGTACTCTGTGCTGGGGGCTGCGCAAGATAAATTGCAGAGTTTTGGCGGGAACTTGACCGGCGGCGGTTTGCTGCTCCTGTTTTTTTTTTGTTTAAATAATGGTTTGAAGTGGACTTTGATATTTAAAAGTGGTGCGATTTTGTGTATTAAGTGTCTGCGCATGTGAACTATTAGTGAAAACTGTGAAACAAGTGCTCTGATAGTGATGTGATTCTCAAAATAAGGTGCCTGTCTCCTTAGGCGCCTTGAGATACCATCGCTAACCGTCAGCTGTCTGCTGGCTCAAGTTGCCGTCAAAATCTCCCAAGAGCTGCACAATGTGACGCATCAACATATTGTGAAGCAGTATACTATGAAGAATAATTATTATAATATAATATTGTAACTTCACGCTCAGAAGGGCTTGATCCCAGAGCCGTAAAGCCAGTTATTAAGAAAAAGAAGAAGAACATATATTGCACACGTCATTACGTAGTCATGGAAACATGAATACATTACGTAACATTTGATTTTACTTCCCATAAATTTTCATACCCCGGGCTTATATATGAAAATCAATTCTTAAGGAGTAAACTCCAAAAAAAAATTAGTTATCTGAAGTTGGATTTGGTTTTTATTAAAAGTAATTTGTTTATATTTTAGTGTCAAATTAGCTGATATTACTATTAGATAATAAGTGGCTAATCCCAAGGACACCTGTGAAGTTGATGACACTTTAAAATAGTTCATCGATCCTGTTTCGGTGAGTCCCCTAAGATGGGATGCCTCACAGCATATAATGACATTGCCTCTCTTGCCCTTCTCTATCAGTTTACCGTTTAATAAAAAGTAAAAGTAAAAGACTTCAAAAAACTTAAAAAAAACAATTTTTATTTCAGTTTTAATAGGTACTGCTATTTATGTTGCCTAGATAGTTACATTAAAAACTTCATTCCTCATTTTCCCACTCAAGGAGTGGAATTTTCGCTTCAAATTAAACATATGGTGCCACCTCTGAAGCTGAACCTATTGGACGGTTTTTCATTTACCGGCACGGCATGTAAAAATAGGAATCAAAATCTGTTTACATTTAAGAAAGACATCGCGTAACAAACATACAAAAATTTTTTTATTGAATTGATAAACGAGCACACAGTCTACCTGATGGTAAATGGATGCTGTGTCCCATAAACATCTACATATGTCTATCCTCGATTAAAAATCTAAATGCAGATGCGTTGTCACTCCTTAGGACTAAGATGGAATGCCTCGTTTCCAGTAAAAAGGGTCTCCGATTCTCTACATTCACCATACGAAACACAGCAACATTAAGAAGCTATTTTACGCTGGCATTGTGTGAGAGCATGGCCGAGTCGACCTATTCGTGCTGCATCTATAATATAGCTGCAGCATGACTCAAAAACTAAACAGTCAGAGAATTGAGACTCTCCTCCTTTTTGAAGGAAGGGAATTTTCTAGCGTAAACCTGTAGACGTAATGAGGATTGAGTGCGAAACAATTACAAAGGAAACTTAACAAATCTCGAAAGTAGTTAACTTTTTACCAAGTATTTCAGCAACTCGCTCCAAAACGACATCGGCAATACTTCTCAATCTATTAGAGACCAACATCTCTTTCTCTCCTTTAGCAATGTAATCACACAATCGATACGCCACCTAGAATATACACGGGTTCTCATGATACGGTAAATTCAATATAATGGTGAACGTGGTAATATAAAGTTAAAGCCCATGTTTATGATTTTCATAGCTTAGCAACCCTCTTAAATTACTGTATTAATAGTAACAAAACAGCAAGTAAAAATCATTCAGACTTCTTTAATAGAAACGGCAATTATACTTAAAAATATCGAATTTATTTATCTGGTTCTTTTACAAAATACATTCTAATATAATTACCAAAAAACACGTATCAGAAAAAACGTACGCGACAATTACCATCAGGTGGGACAGTAGTCAAACACTGACTAAAAGTCTAAGTCTAAGTATTAGTAAAAAAAGACCAGGAGTTGTCGTAAGATAAGACCGGGCGAATGGCGTTTGACTTACCAATACGTACAATATTTCTGTCTGACTCCGGGACTCTTCCTCAAGCAGCAGTTCCGATCTGAAGGGTACAGAGAGTCAGTATAATTGCAGGCCGTGAGATATTCCATCTTGGTCCTCGGAGATGATGACACGTCTGTAGCCTTTCTTTGTTTAAAATGGGTCGCCGGTTGTAGGCGACAGTAGCTAATTACCACAAAATGGACTGTGAGTTCCATTTCAATTTTATAAAAGAAAAAAGCGATCAATAAAATTCCCCACCGCACTATAACAATTAAGTAACGCTTTGTAGTCTTCTTGGTTGTGTTATGTGAATAGTGATTTTCCTTCGATTTTATTACACAAGACGTTAGACTTTATGATGAGTTAGGAAGAGAAAATGCTTCCGTGTTAGCGCTCATATCACTTTACGTCGTAGAGTCTACGCAATCAAATGATTATTATAGTCGGGGAGAATGATTTTCCTTAAACATACTGTATGTAAATATTTTTATATATATGTATGTATACATTTACATACATGGTAGATTATAAATTTTTATACGTGGTAGAGCCATGCTGCAGCTATATTAGTAGTTTAGTTGTAGCACGAATGGGTCGGCTCGACAGGCAAAGGACCACGCTCTCACAGAACACCAGCGTAAAATAGCAGCTTAACACTGCTGTGTTTCGTATGGTGAGTGTAGAGAACCTGAGAACCTTTTTACTGGAAAAGAGGCATTCCATCTTAGTCCTCACGGGTGACAACGCATGTGCATTTTGATTCGCAAACGAGGATAAATGTAAATGTCTATGGGCCACAGCAACCACTTACCATCAGGTGTACTGTGTACTCGTTTGTCACCCAATCCTATAAAAAAGAAATTAGTTATTGTGTGTTTTGTTGTTATATTTTTATATTTAAACCTGCGCGCTGAAATCAATGAGCCACTTCTCTCTCTGTCGAAGTTCGCGCTCCATCTCCGCTTTTTCCTTGCGGCTGATCGTTTCATTCAGTCCTGACCATCGTTTGGATTCATTCAATGCTTGAAAATACTGTTCTGTTTGCCTGAATATATTTGTATTAAGTTATTTTTAAAAAAGTGTCATTTTTAACAAAAAAAAAACATTCTACCGACAATTTACAAACATAAATTGCACAAGAACAAACATGCGGAACCGACAACCGAACAAATGCTTGTAGGCCATTGAAATATTTCTAAATCGTACAAAGTGCCCTCAGCCTCGCAATCAAACGCTTGGCGAACCTAGTCGTAATTTCATTAATTATTAATGTAATATTATTTCAGCATATCATGCAATATATTTATCATTTCCACTAGGGACTATCAAACTGCCAAAAACCCATCATCGGCCGAAGTACTCCAGCCTTTGCTATTTTTACTTTGCATATTTTCGGCCTTATGACGAATTTAGTAGAGTTTTACGACTCCCGCGGCACAACAGTCCCCCTTACCTTAAAGGGCGGATATTTATCAAACAGTCATAATTGCCAAGCTTGGTAGGAGATTTGACAACCGCAGTTTATTGTTATTATTATTATGGGGTATATAGTTTTCTCATCCCGTTGGGCTGTTTAAATATATAATTGTAAATGAAAGTGATAAATATACATAAATATCAATAAAATAAAATAAATACATAAAAATACATAAATATATAAAAGCCCAACCAGATGGAAGCCCTCGGCAGGGGAGAGCAGACGGCCGAGGGTTAGGGGGACCGGTGGACGATGCGGCCGGTATCGAGGAACACCGCCTTCTGCATTTGAGCTTGGAGCGGTCCGTCACGGAGTCCCAGTCGCCTCAGATGACCCGGGAGGCTGACTGGGATTAACCCGTTCGCAGAAACGACCACCGGAATAATTTCGGTCGGCAGACCACCCCACATGTCGATCTCCTCGTGAGCCAGGTCCACATATTTTGTCAGCTTATCTGTTTCGGCTTTCACGAGGTTCTTGTCATAAGGAATGGTAATGTCGACCAAAAATATCATTGACTGTGCCCGGTTTATCAGCACAACATCAGGCTTATTCGCAAGAATAGTCCTGTCTGTGATGATGACCCGGTCCGAGTAGAGCCTGGCGCGGTCATTTTCGAGCACTGCTTCCGGCAAGTACTTATAATACGGCAGTTTCCGATCCATGAGACCGTATTTCGGAGCGAGCTCCTGGTGTAGAATCCTGGCTCCTAGGTTGTGTCTGAGCAAATACTCAGAGTTAGAAAGCGCCGAACAAACGGAGATGACATGCCCAAGTGACTCATCGGGATGGCGACAAACTCGACAGATATCGACGGTGCCATCCTTTAGGATGTATTTCCGATAATTGTTGGTCCTGATCCTACATCACACAGACAAAAATTCTCGGTTTCCCCAAAGAGGTCACCGAAACGTAGCCAGTGGAGGGAGGCGACTGTGTCTACGAAAGGCTCATGTAGAGCCTTGTAGAACCTCCCGTGGAGCTCCTTCTCCTTCCATACGGTCTCCCGGTCGGAAATGCATTGTACTGCTGGGTCTTGCCATTGCTTGTTGGCTAAGGAAAAAGGATGATGGAGAAGGAAGCCCTTTATCACACGAGATGACGTCCCTGTAGAATGGATCATCCGATCTCGCCAGAAAGTAATTACGGAGGTAGCACACTTAACGATTATGCATGTTGAGAGCGCTCAAATAGCCGCGGCCACCATGTTTCAGCGGCAAGTACAGCCTCATTACTGACGATATCTCGGGTGATGTATCCTGTGGGACGTCATAACAGTGCGGACTTTTCTATCGAGAGCGTTCAGTTCGGTCTGAGTTCACCTAAGTATGCCGAAAGTATACATGAGGACATGACCCAACCGTTATATGCATGTGTCTTATTCACGCCCGACAAAACACTGTTGAGCACTTTTGTCAAGCGTGGATAAAACACATCGCAAACTGACTGTTTTATATCCGCCTCATCGATACCTATGCTCTGTGCCATACCCAGGTATCGGTATGTTTCAACCTCGAATAGGGTCCTTATGTTGATGGGCATAGATAAGTCTATGCCCTCAGAGTTAGCAACTCTATCCCTTTCGACATGGAAGACCGCACACTTATCCGTCCCCAGCTCTATTCTAATAGAATTGTTAAAATCACTAGTGATGTTTAGCAATTCCATAAGATGAGAGCGACTGGAGGCGAATAACTAGAGATCATCCATATACAAAAGGTGGGTCACTTTTGTACCTCTTTGTGACGCTGAAATCCTCTCCCGGAACTCTCCAGTAAGGTATTTAGAGAGGGGCAAAACTAGATTGAACTCAGACAATCGCCCTGGAAGATACCCCTTCTTATCCTTATGTAGTTCTCCGCAGCCGTCATCCGCTCTCCTAGATGACAAAGGATCGTACTCCACCGCCTCATACACTGTTCGAGGAAATGTCTAACTGTATTGTCAACCTTATACAGCTCAAGGACCCTCTTCAATTATGTATGAGGCACCGAGTCGAATGCAATTTTGTAGTCTATCCAGGCGTATGTATGTATGTCAATGAGGAGTGGTTCCTTGGTTCCACGACACATCACATGATTTTAGTTCAGGTGACGAGTGATTCTCGCGCTCCAAATGGATGTTAGTGTTTGTATATCATGGGTAGACACGTGATGGGGCGTTATTTGCTCCGATCTGTAGTATCTCGGTCTTCAGGAACCAAATGAGTAATCCCAGTAGTGAAGAGGCTCGGGAGCTACTTCTGGTTGAAAGCCTCTTGAAACTGTCAGGCGAGCACAGCGTGACACACCACGAAACCCTTCAGCCAGTAGTGATGCAGTCCGTCGAGCCCCAAACTTTTCCAGTTCGGGGCCCTTCAGACCACCTCAACTACATCGTCCGGCGTTATGATAACAGAGTCAATGGGCGTACCGCGACACTGGCTCGCCTGATCTTCCGTCCAAGGACCGTTACTGTAGTTTACGGGCTCTGACCACAGGCCGCGCCAAAATGCGACAGTGCTGGCCTGATTCGGTGCTTAGCCTACTCCACGTAGCATTGGTCGCTCCAATTATTTATAGAGCCTCTTCTGATCACTTTGGAAGAGACGATCCTGGTTGAATCATGTCGAACTCTCGGTATATCACCGAATCCGCTTTCCCCAAGCAGCAATTCTCTGTTCAGTTTTTCGTAATATCCGGGTGGGACAAATTTATATTTGTCCCAGCAAAGGCCATCTCCTCGTTTTATTATTGCCCGACTTGAAGCTTGTCAATCTGCCGCATCTGTCCTCAGTTATTTTTCTCCAGACTGGGATGGCGCTATTTTGTATGGAAGTTTGGTGCCAATAATACGGCAAACTACCAGCATGGCGCCAAAAAGAATTGAATTCGTCTCGCAAAGATCCGGGCTGGCTTCCAAATAAGTCACCAGCATTGGGTTGAGAGCCCTCACACAGCCCGATTCCGCTTGCTTAGGAGTATGCGGGGAAGTCACAGTCGATTTTCGAGAGGAGTACTGTGTGTTTCCAAAATTGTCTCTTCCAATATGCTCCTCATTTGCTCTAGTTTGTGGTAGACTATTTCATCATCGTCTGAATCAATTACAACTGGAATATCCACGACGGTATCCACGTGTGCAGGTTGCTCTGCAATTAGTGGCGCCGCATTACCAGCTGTAGCATTTTCATTCGATGAGGGAACAGCCTCACGACGACGCTACAACATATTTGGTGACGCCGAACTCGAACGACTTCGTAGTCATTCGAGTTCGGCTTCACCAAATATGGTGTAACGCAGGATATACCGAACTCGGTCTGCAAGGTTTTGCTCCGTTACATTAACAGATGACTCCAGCTCTGCGAAAAATCGATGCATACGGGCCCGATCCGCCAACATTCCAGTTTCTTTCCCTTTCGCCCAAAAATACGGGTCGTCACTTCCCTACGCCAGATTATTATTATTGAATTGTTATCACGGAGATGCTTCTCGTATGAGTTCGCTTGTTTCAGTTTCCTTATATCGCCTTTTACGACGCCACTGGATGATATGAGGTAGCAACTCTTACACTGCCACTACACGAATACCGCGTATTTATGGCTCTTTGATCACTCAGTCCCATTGTCCAAACAGTTAATGCCGCCAAAAAAATGCACAGACATCGTAAAGGACAACACGGCGGCGGGATGTATGCAAATTCACCTCGACCTGTGTATGCAGTTCTTATAGTTGTTAGTTGGACCTTGCATACTGAGATATTCGATGATCATTTATGGTTCGCTCTCATTGATTTACTTTTGTTACCGTGTTATACACTGTGGTATTAAGTAAACAAATAAAATATTTCTATGGACGTAGATTTCTTCACCTTTACCAGCCCGTAAAAGTCCATTGCTGGACTTGGGCTTCTCCCGTCGTGGGAAACGTTTGCCATATATCGTCACGCTTGGTAGGCGGTTTGGGCAAAAGCGACAGTGTACTAATGGTTAAGGGTACGGACAATAAAACTCAGGTCATGGGTTCGAATCCACCATTCAACTACGGTGGTGAAACACTCGGGCTGTGTGAGGGCTCTCAACCCAATGCTGGTGCCTTATTTGGAAGCCAGCCCGGATCTTTGCGAGACGAATTCAATTCTTTTTGGCGCCATGCTGGCAGTTTGCCGTATTATTGGCACCAAACTTAAAGAATACAGAGACGACTATTAGCACAACTAATATTCTCGTTAACCATTCAACAAAACCATCCATCCATAACCAAAACCATTTTAAGCTTAATTTGAATGGTTAACGAGAATACTAGTTGTGCTAATAGCAGTCTCTGTATTCTTTTATAAAAAAATATTACGCTTGGCACAAATGAGATGATTACTCTGCCATCTATTGGAAGTCATAAGATCTTTATGGCATAATTCATGGTTACTTAGCAATGCACGGGAAGAAATGGAGTAATGGTCTCACTTAATGTCTATTAATATAACATGCTGCTGCGTAAAACTAGCTAGAAACGTAACATACTCAGGGCTAAGAAAATAATCCTCTTCCAAAGCACTCTTGATCTTATCTCTCCGATCTGCAGGCAATATGGCACATTTCTCATCCCAGAGGGAACGGAGTCGCCTCGGAGTGGGTCTAGCGAGCATTTCAACTCGCTCCATATTCCGTCGCAAGCGCGGTGATAAGTGAGATGGTGAATCGGCTAACCAAAACATTATTAAAGAAATGATTTTTACTTTGTAGTATTTTTGTTTATAGAAAGAGAAAAAAAGAAGAAAGAAAGAAGGACGCACTTTATTTTGTCAGTCATCATTGACGTACAACAATATACTAATTTACAAAAATAATTGAATTTTTTTATTTTTTTAGCCTTTGTACGTCGGAAGCATGCTAAAAAACGATCATTAGTCGGCATGAGTTGTGGCGAAACCACAACGCAGATTTTCAGTACTGACCGAAACAATACCTCGGAGAATACAGCTCCGAAGGTAATTAAAGTACTTAGTGAAATTTTAAACAGAAAGGAAATAAATCAATTATTCAAACGGAGCTAGTATCCACCGAGCCAAGAAAGCGTGACCGTCAAGCATATTCATACACTCATCCTATAAAATTTTAAAAATAAGTTTAGGATTAAGTTTAATAAAATAGCTCAGAGAAACAAAAAAAGCAAATTACAAACTATTTTTTTTTTTCTATTATAATTTTCAGAGACAAAAAAGGAAATAATAATGTTGGGATTAAAAACTACCTGACTAAATTATAAACAAAATTTATGTTTAATTACAATTATTATAAAAATTATTATAATTATATAATTATTATAAATATTATATAATTATTACAAAATAGAACAATGCGTGACCTCCTTTTGTTTTGCTGTTGTGATATCATGCGCGAGATCCAAACTTTATATTATTCATAGATTAATCATAAGTCAGAGCGCGCGATGACTTATCATTAATCTATGATATTATTCTTGTACCTAAACTGCGTCATCGGGTCATAAAGTAAATTAAATTTTATGGAATATGTTCGGCGGAGTTGCAAGCACAAATGCATTTTGTTAATACATCTTTGGAAAGACTGACTTCATACAGGATTTGATTGGAGGAAAAAAAGCACTTTTGATAACATTTCAAAGTGATTTTCATTTTTAGACATCTTGTTGCCGGTGATAACCATAGCATGATATGTTTAGGTAAAATGTCCTTTATTGGACGGTATGTTACTATTTTAGCAAGTTTGTTTTTTCTTTAAATCATCTCGCATGTCACGAATAAGTGATGACCTAATTCAATAATAAGGTCTCACAATTATTTCTGTACCGGTCGTCGGTACATATCACATCAATAAGCGTTGCAATGTCTCCTACGAAATATGTCGGCGTGAGTGAGTATTTGGTGCCTATTTCAAAATTTATGTATGTAGTTCCCACTACTAGCGGTTTTGTTTTTATTCTGCCGACTTCCAAAAAGGAGCCGGTACTCAATTCGACTGTATGTTTTTTTTTTTTTCGTTTTTTTTTTTTTTTTTTTTATGTGTGTTACCTCAGAACTTTTTTCTGGGTGAACCGATTTTTGTCAAACTCATCCACATGTCTTCTCCTATCGGGTGTTGTGGATGATGGATGTTCCAAGGGGTCTGTCGGGTTCGTCGCGTTTATGTGTCGTCGCACTATATCGCGCTCTTCGATAGACATATCTAACTTAATCACTATGAGCTGAACGGTGTGAATTAAATTGTTACCGTTTGTATCCAGCAGATTTGCGACATCGATAACATAATAAATATCATTCATTGAGAAGTCCTGGGGTTGTCGTTATTTAAGGCAGGAGAAAATTTGCGACAATATCGTCCAGCTCTAATAAGCACTTCTATTTGTGTTTATTATATGCCTCTAGGTAACTCATTTTCGTTTCCATACGAGTACTAGTCCGTTGTGATAAAGTGAAAAAGGCGATAATTTTTGCGAGTCCTTTAATTGCGATATAGGTAACTGCGAGCGAAGGTTTTTGTACTCGCTGCTTATAGATTTGCATCCTTACTTCTCATTAATGTGTTTACCCGATTATCGTTCGACGTGTACTCAGGACGGCGCCATCTAGTAGTTAGTCGACCAGTTGGTGGTAGCACTACGCATGCTCGGTGGTAACGACCCTATTCTTAAAGCACTTTATAATGATATTATAATGATAATTATTTCTGTTTGTGTATTATAAAGAGTTTTAATATTTGAAGAATAATCACTACACTTTGAACAACTTTTTTTAAACACTAATAAGGGGTACCTATGCAAAGTACGTAATGTACGTGCATAAGACCTGCCTGATGTCCACCTAATTTTATAGAGGGATGTCAACGTCTAACGCCCGATATATTATTATGATCGGTGATGTAACTAGAGTGATGCCAGCGGTGCCCATGCACACCCTGGAGGGGCGCATAAAGAACCATACCAGGACCAAGTTTTGGGTCATCCAGTTAGTAACATACATATCTACATTATTATAGTCTATGTAAAATCACCTAGTTACTATCAGCTATAAACATAGCTGTTATAATACATATATTCTGCTTACAATCAAATAATTGAACTACAGAATGATGCATCAGGGTCAGAATCTGAAGAAATTGAAGAAAAGGGGTTCCATTAGCACATCATGGGACTCCAGTCTTGAGCTCTATTCGATAGCGAAAGTGGCGATTGGCAAGAAAGGCTCTGATGATGTGAGTGAGCCTATCAGTCACGTTGAATTTATACAACTTTTAAACCAAACCATCGTGCCAGACTTTGTCAAACGCTTTTGCGACATCGAAGAAGATGGCACCGGTTATAGTGTTACTACGACTTCTCTTTGGGATGTTGAATCCTTTCAGAATGTATTATATGAGGCGATGTAACTGGCCGATGCGCGTGTGTTCCACCCGACACACGCGCACCGGTCATAGGCCAAGCCGGTATGCTTCGTCTGGAAGAAATTTGTTTTTAAGACGTATTTAAAAAGGCGATTCAATATGAGTTGCTCGTAAACTTTCCCCAGTGTGCTGAGGAGACTGGTCTGTAACTGGAAGCTAAGTTGCGCGGTTTCCCCCGTTTCGGGATTCCTATTACGTCTGCCACTTTCCAGGCATCCGGGAAGGAGCAGTTGGAAAGAAGAGCGTTGAATATGCCTACTACGAGGCATACAACCGGCGCGGTGAGAGATTTCAGTACCCTAATGCTTATGCCATCGGGGCCGGATGCTGATTTGTTTTTGAGATATTTTAATAATTCTGTGCTTTGTCGACTGTCACAGGATCTAAGGGCTAGACGCCTTCGATGACTGACTGGTAGTAGCTAGACTGTGACGGTACTATGCGATGTGGGGGTCACGACTGTCCGTATAAAGCACGTTATGGCACATTTACATTATCGGCACAGCATATCTTTTTAAATTAGATACATAACAAATTATGCATAATATGTACTAGCTTTGTAAACTCACTCAGGGGACAACTAAATAAGTCTGTTTCTCAGGCATTGAGTCATATGTACTACGTACTAGAGAAGCCATTCCTAACAAAAATTGTGTCCTACTCTATGTATTCGCGGGAGTAGTAATCGCGCATGCGCGAAGAATTTAATTTGATATAAAATAAGATATTAATATAAAATTAATATAAGGATTTATTATAAAATATCTTAATTTAATCTAAACAAACATATTTCTAAATAAAATGTTATAATAATTATTTTATGGAATTCACAAATCTTCAATTTACGCAAAATTTAGTTTGTATGGATTGCACTACAGTTCAGTTGAACATAGTCAATGTTCGGAATGGCTTCTCTAGTACGTAGTACATTTAACTCAATGTTCTCAGGCTATCAGATTAAGAGTGCAGAGAGCACTCGTCAGGGACGCCTGACGCAGTTTGTCCTTCCGTTCAGCAAAGTCAGTAGTTGTGGCCGTCGCCATCTAGATATCCGTCCGGGACATACATGTTCCATTGTTTGAATATGTAGGAATTAAAATGTTTCCCTATGAGTGCTTTATAAATACATAAAACCAGAGTAAGTTCTCTCCTAACCCAAAGAGTCTTCGGCTTTCATTCATATTCAATCGGCTAACAGAGGCTTTATTAAATTTATATTAAATTTATAATTCATAAATAATTTAATAAATTTCCTAGACTATGGTCTTTCATCATTACAACCTAAAACAAAAAGCGAACAAAAAGCCACAGATGCGTTGCCACTTCTGAAGACAAGGTGAGATGGTTCACGAGCCTGCATGTCTTTCCCACCCTTCAAATCAATACACAGGAGTGGTTGCACTGCTGCTTTACGACAGAAATAGCATACCTTCTAGCTCTTATCAACAATTCCTGTGTCTAATATGAATAAGACTTCAGCAAACGGCTCAGGTTCAGATGAGGCTTAGTTGACCAGACTCCAAGTTTTTTAATTGCTCGTTACAACGGACGAAGAAACAAAAGTAAGATATATACCTGATGAACTTTTAACAATTTTAACGTTCTCATCCGATGTAGATTCTAATTCACTTTCAGATCTCTTTGGTCTGTTTATTGACGACTTTTGTTTATTTTTAGATTTTTTAAAAAAGGGCATTTTGATATTAAACTAAAAATTTAACTTATAAATAATCAAATTATGAAAATTTTATACCATAACCAAATGGTTACGTCGATTTGAGTTTGAAAGCTAAGTTGCCTATTTGTCATTTTTTTATATTTGGTATTCGAAAGAGATTTATGAAAAAATTTTCAATACCTTATCAAAAATCAAGTCATTTAAATAGTTTGCAAGTTAGGGCATTTTCAGATTCCCCGCGCCGACCACGCACAGGACCTGCACACGCGTTGAGCCCGCCTTGCACCCACGCTCGCCACGCGCAAAGTTAGCGCACGCATCGTGTCCGCTTATACAATTAGTACACTGATCTAGAGGCTTCCAGATGTCACAACGTCAGCACGTGTGCAACAAAGTGGATTCGACTAAGCTAAAAAATAGTTATAATTGCATACTATATGTATAAACGCCTGCAGGGCTAGCATGGGCAGGAGACAATTTTATCCCCGGGGAAAGGAGAAAATGTATATCCCTTCGCTTAGTCTCATCCACCCTTCGAGTATGGGCATACCGGTGGATATAAGATCCACAGTAAACAATGGGAGATAGAGTTAGGCTTAGACAGATTTTTTGTATGAATATAAACTTAAACCTACATCCAATGAACTAGGATAAAATTGTCCCTTTCAAATGTCAAAAAAGCATTTTTTATAGGATGAGGTGACAAACGAGTACACAGTCCACCTGATGGTAAGTGGTTGCTGTGACCCATATATATCGACATCTATCTCAATAAAGAATCAAAATGCAGATGCGTTGTCAACCGTGAGGACTAAGATGGAATGCCTCTTTTCCAGTAAAAAGGGTCTCCGGTTCTCTACACTCACCATACGAAACATAGCAGTATTAGGCTGCTATTTTACGCTGGTATTCTATGAGAGCGTGGTCCTTCCCCGGTCGAGCCGACCCACTCGTGCTACAACTATACCACCAATATAGTTGCAACATGGTTCTACCACGTATAGTATTCTTTATTACTTTCAAGTGTTTTGTCCCACAGCACGTCCTTTTCCTACACCAAAAAAATAAATGTTTCTTTATCGATGTCATCCATTATTATTTAATTAAAAAACCTACCTAGCCACTAAATTTGATCACAGTCAATACAACACTAGCCGAAGCGCGGGCGCAATGCTTAGCGGGGCGGGTGCAGCGCGTGTGTGGGGTGAGTGCGGGGCCAGCGCGAAGTGGGAACGTGGCGGGCGCGTGGCGTGTGCGAGGCGTGTGCGGTTGAACGTCGATAAATTCAATTTCAGATTTATTGATGTGTCATAAAACTTAATTTATATGCAACAAATTTCAAAGCTAGTTAGACAGGTACTGACGCGCGTGGCGTGCGCGTAGCGAGCACGTGTCGTCTGAACGCTGCCTTAAAGTTCTTTTTTCTTTTTTCTACTCTCTATTTTAATTTTCAATTAAGAATGACACAATTGCATGCCTTAAGCACAAAGCGCGTAGGTATGTTCTACCAATGTTCTACTAACGCCTAAAAATCAAGATTCCAACGTTTTGTCGCATGAAATCGTATCTAACAATCAAAAAAAATAATAAAAAAAATAATGAAATGATAAATGATATGAAAAGCACATTGTCAGAAAGATAAATGATTGTTGAACTTATTAATTTTTAAATTGATCAATTACTATTTTTACATTAAAAAAGTGGTTATGGTGTAGATTTATCAAGTCTGCATGGAGGGGTAAACACGATACTTTTGAAAATATCAATTGTTTAACTCAATCTATTTTTTAATCTCTTCATCTATCATGTGGGAAGCCATGGAACGTAAATGGCAGTTTGATTTTGTTTAGTTATAATTAATTTTTTTCGGCTGAGAACTGCCAAAAGGGGAATAACCACCGTTCATAGACACTTCGGCCACGGGTGCCCACATATAAAAGTATATGGAAATGATAATATGCAATTAAAAGAATGAATTGGTTAAGGAATTGGTTTAAAAAAGTCCGGATTTTTTAAGGTATAAAGGCTTTTTATTTTCACAAGAACAGTTTTTAACAATAAATGACTTCGTGTTTTCGTGACATTTAAACCACAATTGACACAGCGTAAATGTCGTTTTGAATGAGTTACTGAGAGCTGGGAAGAACTCTGGCCGATGTGAAAGCTGGGGTCATTGTTAACAGTGGATATCGAGTCCAAGTTCATGCAGAGGTTCTCGTAAGAAGTGGGAGCGGGATCCATTTTCAGGCCGTGGTCAATAGGGTGAGAAGAATTATCGGAGTCCATTTAGAAAGCTTATTCGTTGCTTAGATAACAAATCCGCGAGAAAACAAACAGAATAACACAAATTCAAAGGAAGTCGACTTGTGGCTATTTAGTTTTGATAATTATGATTTACTAGCTGTGCCCGCGGCGTAGCCCGCGGATATAGGTTTTACTTAAAGAATTTGACGTTTAGGTAAGAGAATATTAAACGATTTATATCATTACTGTATCAATAAGTGATAACAAAATAAATCGTTATCCTCATAGTTCAAAGTCGTTTATAATAGAGCTTCTGTGTAAACGACGTTCGGAGTATAGACTTAGCCGGGGCGTACACAAAAAGGTTACGGGAGCTTCTAACGCGGGAAAAAGCAACATAGAGTTGGCTATGTGCAAAACAGTACTGAGGTCCACTCCTGCAACGTGTAAAGTTTGACCTTGCGCTTTATTTACAGTCATCGCATAACATACGCTAAGTGGGAACTGAACACGCTTAAAGGTACTGTAGGTTCCGTAGCCGACCGCAGACAGCAGCAGCAGGCGACGTGTCGTCGCGACACTACTGGTTTCTATGTAGTTCTATGAAATACCTTCCGTAGGTAGCGACACGTCGTTTGCCGGAGTGGCAGACGACCGCAGATCAGTAGTGACGCCAACGCCCGAGCGACACGTTGAATTTTTCTCAAAAAATGAGTTTCACCGATTCCATGGAAGAGAAACTGATAAACCAGGTGGCCCAATATATCCCGCATTGCATCTCACAATAATTATTTAAACAGTGTGACAAAAGATAATACTTGAAAAAATATAGGAAAGGAGTTAAATAAAAGCGGTAAATATGTATGTACCTATTTTGTTTATATAAATAGAGTACCCCCAGAACATTCGGAACAGATTGGAACACGGGCTGCTGCCGCCTGCAGTCGGGTTCGGAATCATGACTGCAGCGACGTGACGCGACGACATGTCGCAGCGACATGACAGTCAGTCGACATCTGTCTGCGGTAGCTTACGGAATTGCACCTTAAAACTGAAAGGAAAGTTATTTGGTATTTGAGGGATTCTGGGTATAAAAACGATATCACGACATTTTGTTGTAATTTTGCTACTTTTAGCGCTATTTATTACGTTCTTTATGAGAAAACATCCTTTTTTAAAATAAGGAAAACATTTTTTTTGTTTACTGTGTTTTAAGTATAAATATATTATAATAGAACCTTTTTATTACACACTAATCTTTTTATTACTATTTCTGAGATTTTATGGCGCCATTAAACAAATTCGATCCTACATTTCAAAATAATAATCATAACTTTCGATAGAATTAACCAATGTTAATAAAACAAAGATAAACTCGATGATATATGATTTTCTTAACGATGTCCTTGAAAAAAAAGACGTTTACTCAAAACGTAATGCGTTCATAAACAAACAGACAGACCGAGACAGACAGTTCTAAAAATTATAAAAATGTACTTATTTAATGATTTTCAGTACCCATAATGATTTTAGTCACAAATATACTATACAATGTACAGAAATGGACCAAACATGTTTCACCATTTTTATTATATGTATAAATTTAAAGAGATATGGCGCTGTTAATATCAATTCCAAAAATAAAAGAGATTAATTGACGCGATTTATATATAATATAAAACATAAAATAACTTATAAATCAGTGTCTGCATAGTAAACAAAAAAAATTGATTTACCTCATAGAGTACTCGCAGTAGGGCAGCGAGTAATATAAAGATTAGCAGGAAATATGAAAACTCATCTACAGGAAAAAAACCACAACCTGCCTTTTTGTATTACATTTGTAAAACACTTTTTTAAAAAATTGTTTAACTATTGTACTTTAGATTTAGATAATAAGGTTAATATTATATTTTTGCATATGTTTATTACGTTCTTTAATACTCTTGTTTACTGCGTTAAAGATAATATCATAATAGAACACTATTTAACATCATTTAATTATGTTATGATTTATAATATTGTATTAGTTTAAAATGCACTTGATGACTCAACCATCGCCACCGTTGAACAAATTCGTACCTATACTTCGTATCCATACTTCAGAATATTTGTCATAACTTTTGATGGAATGAACTGATTTTAATGAAATAAAGACTAAATGTAACCCGAAGATACACTTAATAATTTCCATAACGATTCTTATGATATAAATTAGTACTTTATACGTGATACGTTAACAAACAAACAAACAGACAGACAGACAGACAGACAATGCTAAAAATGATAGGAATGTGTTTAACTACTTATTTTTAGTCCCTCTTAATAACTTCTGTTACAAAAATATCAAATGTACAGACATCTGCAATTTACTTACTATATGTATAGATACTCTTATTATATGTATATAGTGCCACCAACTTATCTGTTCAGGTGGACAAAATTGGAACTAATGCCGCCATTTTGTAAATGACATTTCGCTGTCAGTTATTATTTATTCTGAGCTATCAGGTGAATGTTTTTAAAAAGTGCAATTAAAATGCCTAAAGCTCTTAAAAGTGATGCGCGACAGATTATCCTAAAAGTTTTATCTTTTATGAAAGAAGAGAAACGTGTACAAGCCCCAACTATACCATTTGAAAAGCTGTATGAGCGCGTTGCTGCCGCGACTGGTTAGTATTGCCAGATATGGAAAATTAAAATCACCAAATAATGTACTTGTAAAACATAGTAAAAAAATTATCTCAATTTACTGTAATTCGTCTAAAGTACCT